TCAGTGATCTCTTTGTGAAGGTGAGTATTGAGCAGGGCCATGTTATACGAACTTACTGTTCTTGGATTTGGGCTAGAATTAAGTGAGAGCCCAGAATCCATCTCCTTGTACATGGATTATGAACTGCTCTGATTTGCTTTAGCGGTCATATTATCATTTTGTGAAAACAACAACAAAATTTGCTAAACAAAACAAACCAAAAAAAGGAAAACACTGTCATTCATCCTCCTGGGGTATATGGCGATTACATCGACAACATCGATAACTTATTCAATGGAATAAAATTCAAGATACTGTTGAGATGAGTTTATGCGAACTGTAATCCATGAAATGTCACTTTTTACTGCTTGACTTCTTAAATGATTGAACTCTTTACATTGAGGATTGGTGATAGGTGAAAATTACCTGTAGCATTCCAAAGGCAGATCTTTGCCTAGCATATTAATATCTGGCACATTAATGCAAGGGGAACATCGAGATAGTACATATATGGTGGTTCTGGGTCCCCTTTCATTGGACGTACACTAAGCCAGGGGTCCCAGTCAAGGTCCAATGACTGCCATTTCCACAGCCTTGAGTTGGCCATCACTATCTTCCTCTCCCATCAGGGAATTTCAGTCCTAAGTCCAAGGGCTACAGATAGTTTTGAGGTAGGACTCAGTTCATTCTGTCAGGCTTCCATTTTGAATCCTTCTGCTTGGGCCCTTGCTGGGATGTCATGTTCCCTATAAGGCCAGTATATAAGGTCATCATATTGCTTAGTCCATGGTGTGATTCACTGAGGGTTGGGTAGAAACTTATTCAAAGTGTCTACCCAGGAACATAGAATTGGGTTTCTTCTCCCCTTGGGTTCCCTATAATTATTGATTAGCAACCCTTTCTGATGTCATCCTCTTTGGGGATGATTGCTTATTCCTATTTACTCACCATAGCCACCCACAGAAATATCAGTGCCTCCCCTAAAACGTAGAAGTTTCCCTCCCCTGGTCTGAACTTGATTGTCCAGTAAAGTTCTCCTCTTATTCCTGTGGAAGGCCTGCCAATGTGTTACAGCATTGTTTCAATGTTGTATGGCATCAAGTGGATGGGCTTCTCCATTTTACCCCATCCAGAAGGAGTGGCCTCAGCCAATGTGAGGTCGTATCATTTGAGGTAGTTCTTATGAAGTGCATATAAGGGGGATGGTGTATAGTTCATGGCTGGTAGGCAGAATTTCTACCCCTTTGTGAATTGGTCTATAAGATTTGTTTAATTGCTATTTCTCCTTATAGTAGTGGACGCATACAATATTTGTCCTTTTATGATTGGCTTATTTCACTCAGCATAAATGGCTTCCAGGTCCTTCAGTGCTCCATGTTTTCATCACTGCTTTGTAGGGATGCATACTATTCCATTGTCTCACTTCACTTTAAAGAAACTAATGCGTTCTGTGTGAGATTTATGCAAGAATGATACACAGAACTCAATCAGTAGACACATACTCGAAGAAAGGGGCTTGATCCCACATAAAAAATTAGCAACAGAATTTTTTAACAAGTGGAAAATCAAAGTAAACAGTTCTAAATAATGAAGTGTTATAGATATGTGTTCTATACTGACTCCTTGCTTTAACTGACTTTGATATATATAGATATAGATATATATAACAGTATTACTTTTCTAGGGCTAGATTAATAAAGTACCACAAAATGGATGGCTTCTAAGAAAAATATTTATCATCTCATAGTTCTGGAGGCCACCAGACCAAATTAAGATGTCAACTGGGTTACAAATCTGCTGAAGTCTCTTTTTGCTTCTGGTCGTCCCTGTTCATCGATTGATTGATAGCAACATAGCTGCAGTCTTTACCTCTGGCTTGACATAATCATCTTCACTCTTTGAGTATCTCTGTGTCTCTTCTGCTATTTTGTAAAGACACGATTCAGATTGTCTTAGAGCCTACCAAACTCCAATATAAAGCCCCACTATGATACAGTTAATTCTGACTCAGTGATCCTATAGGACAGAGTAGAACTGCCCCATAAAGTTTCCAAGTCTGCAAATCTTATGGAAGCAGATTGTAAAAGCTTTCCCCCATAGTGGGTTTTTAACACTAACAGCTAAATGTTTTAATCACTGTGTTAACTTAATTGGTCACCTCTTCGTAGACCAAATTCCAAGCTAGTTTGCATTCATAGGTTCCAGGAGCAAAATATCAAATATCTTTTTGAGAAACACCATTTAGTCGACAACACAAACCAATATCAGACTCTGATTACATTGATATAGTCTTTAGTTAAATTTTTATATAAAAGAAGAATAAGAAAATATTCAGAGGAAGGAAAAGAAGAAAGAAATGTGGAAAGAGTAAGAAAGAAGAGGAAGAAGAAAGAGGAGGAGACAAGAAGGGAGAGGAAAAGGAGGAGAAAGTAGAGGTGCTCTGCTTTTTAAAAAAATCTAGGGGGGCTATACTCTAAAATTGATGAGGGGGCGATTGTACAATTCTTCATAATATGATTTAATGATTGAGCTATTGAATTATATGATATGTAATTACTTGCCAATAAAACTGTTGGAAAAATAAATAACTAAGGTGGTCAAAGAAATACCATAAGACCCAGAAATTCCTCCACTTGGTACATACCCCAAATAAATAAGAGGTGCGATATTAATAAATACCTGTGCCCACCCATCCCCCCAGCCAAAAAGCTTGGTATCCAGTGCTTCTTTAAGCAATGTGTGTGTGTTTAAATTTTATTTTTTAAAACTTTCTAATTCTTGTAGACGGATTCTTTGAAAAGTAAAGTAAAATTTTGTGGCATTGTTAAATTGCTTTGACTAAATGCTCACTTTCTATTTCTGAGCTTAAAACAATCTTGCTGATGATCAGTAACAAATAGCCTAGTGACTGGCATAGATCTGTAACTCAAACTTTGAATAGCACTTATTCAACTCCTGTGATGCATGTGTAACCACTAAACCACAAATCTAACCCTGGAAGGTGTCATAAAACAGAAAACCCAATTCATTTAACCTGGATAGTAGAACTTGGCGGGGTAATTTCTGGCAATACCAGGTGTATGGCAAAAATGAAGTTTTTTTCTGTTATAAAACACTGAGACATTACATAGATGCAGCACAAAAAGTCCGGGAATCCTGTTCTAATTTCCATACCCACACAAAACCCCCAAGCTCTCATATTTTATGTCTGTTTAGTAATCCTTTTATTTATTTTCTCTTGATTTATTTTGGACTCCAGATCTCTATCTGGTACAGCACTCTTTACAGTCTTCTATCTCGGACCATTTTAGTCTTTAACATATCTAAAGTGGTCAGTGGGATTATTTAAGTGGCATAAATACGAATAAGGGATTTTTATTCTTTAGGACATTAAAACCCAGAGAGTTTAATTGATTCATCTAGGATACTCAACAATTTGGAAGAGAATAAACTAAAGATAAATTTTCTGTTCTGTGAAATAAAACTGGTTTTATTCACTTAGTTCATGGATCACCCACTGTTTTAGGAGTGCCATGATTAATAAATCATAGTCCTTAATCCCTAAAAAGTGTTTTGAATAATATCAACACATATTCTGATAGTTATAATTAATTGTGGTAAGTGATAGAATAGCAGAATAAAGTACAATCAGAGCACAAAGGAAGGAATTGGACCTGGATAAATGTGAGAATAATGAAAGAATGCACAGAGGATTCAATATGTGAGATGAAGTCTTAAAGTGGCCAATGTGGATAGGAAGAAAATGAATGAAAAAGAGAGCCTAGTAAGAAAGTATAGCACATACAGAGGTAAGAGTCAGATAAATCCATAGAATGTTCAAGGAATGATAAAATGTCTGCTTTAAGTACAATGGGGAGGGATGATGTGTGTCTAGGACAGTAGGGCAAACTATGATGTTCATCCTTTTGAAAATGTGAGCCTATGTAACATAGGCTCTTTTTTTTTCTTTCCCATAGGCTCTTAATTGCCGAGTTTGGACTTTAGTGGAGGTCATCTGCAGTGTGACTTGATAGCTTCTGCTTTACTTTAGTTGTGCTTTGTCTTGCTGTCCGTCTCCAATTTAGTGCATGCGGATTGCATGGTCTTTACCTCAAAGTGAGCCGATAGGACAGAGTACAACTCAAAGATGATTTTGAGAATTGTTAGGGTTTTGCAGTTGCTTGTGAATTTTAGCATGGTATTATCTATAAATGGTTCTGACCTATTATCTTCTTTCCTTTCTTCCTTCTTCCCTCCCTCCCTCCTTCCTTCTTACGGTATCTGTCATCTAGCATGTGTGGTTTGGCAAAGAGGGAAGGGAGACAAACCAAAAATTACATAACAATTATTAAGCATTGGCTATGATAGGATATGAATGCAGCAATGGGTTAAACATACCAACAAGTGTAAGGACGATAAAGAACTGATAGGATGCATTTCATCCTGTTGCCCATAAGGTTTCTATAAATCGGAGTTGACTTGACGGCACCTGGAAACACACGACCATGGTTGTATACAATGTGAGAGAAGCCCTTGAGGGTCACTTGTTAAGTACTCAGCTGCTAGCTAAAAGGTTGCTAGTTTGAACCCCTCAGCCACTCAACAAGAGAAAGATGTAGCGGTCTCTGATGATAACAGCCTTAAAAGCCCTATGAGGCAGTTCTACTCTGTCACACGGGATTGCTATGAGTTGGAATTGACTTCATGGTAACAGATTTGGTTTGTTTACACAATGTAAGTTTATACGGGGAAAACTATAAGTGGTGAAGAACAGTGGAGTAAAGGAGCAGTTTTTCTTTTACTGCAGGTATGTGTAGATATATTAACAACTATAACTATATCTTTACATTTTGTTTTATATATATATATATAAATTAGGGAAGTGAGTATGATCTAGTCTTGGGCAGGGTTGAGATTAGGAAACAGATGGGAAGGAAAGTGCTAAGGAGCATAGTAGCCCGAGGCTGTGGATACTATATGTTCCTTCATGTCAAGAAGTTAATGGAGCCTTATGGAAGAGCTCACCATCTCCAGGAAAATCTTTGTCTGCTGAGCAGTCTCCTCAGTGCTCCTTTCATATCTTTGTTCCTTAGACTATAGATGAAGGGGTTCATCATGGGAGTTACAATTGTATACATGATAGCAGCCACCTTATCCCTTTCTGCTGAGTAGGAAGAAGGTGGGAGAAAGTAGACCCCAATTATAGATCCATAGAAAAGAGACACAGCTGTGAGATGGGAGCCACAAGTAGAGAATGTTTTCCATTTTCCCTTGGCTGACGGCACCCCACACACTATGCAGCCAATAAGGGCATAGGAGACCAGAATGAAGGTAAAAGGGATGGATATGGCGGCTCCACCAACAACTAGGATCAACAAGTCATTGATATAGGTGTCTGAGCAAGCAAGTCTTAAAACAGGTTCCAGGTCACAGAAGAAGTGCAGAATTTCTCTATTGTCACAGAAAGTCAAGTGGCTCAGCATACTGAGGTGCAGAACTGAGACAAAATTGGAGATGATCCATGGAGTTAGTACCAAGAAGGCACAGCGCTTGGGACTCAATAATGTTGCATAGTGTAATGGTTGACAGATAGCAATATACCGGTCATATGCCATGACTGCCAAGAGGAAATTGTCTAGGTCTACCAGCAACATAAAGAAATACATTTGTGTATAGCATCCTGCAAAGGAGATGGTTGGTCTCTGACTTTGGATGTCTACCAACATTTTGGGGACTGTGGTGGTGGTGAAGCAAATGTCAGTAAAAGATAGATTAGCAAGGAAAAAGTACATGGGACTGTGGAGGTGAGGATCACTGCTGATAGCTAGAATGATAAGTACGTTCCCCACCATGGTGATCAAATACATGCACAGAAAGAGCAGGAAGAGGAGCTGCTGCTGTTCTGACCCAACAATGAGGCCCAGGAGGAAGAATTCAGAAATAGTAGTTTGGTTACCTTGGTACATGATTCTGCTGTACCTAAAAAAGGAAAAACTCGTTAGCAGTGCAATGGTAACATGATTCAAAGTCCTATTAGGGAATATAATGCTAGATTACAGAATAGAATCAGGTTTGGGAACCAGACTGTCTGGTTTTAGTCCTTCTACTAACATACACGATCTTTGAGGGCAACAATTTTATTTGCTTTGATCAGTGCTGGTCCCCCATTGCTAACGGTAAGTGTCTGACTCATAGATGGTGTTCAATAAATAGTGGCTGAATTTATACCAATATTAATGAATAAGTAAAAAAAAAAACAAAGAATGTTCTTGTTTACCACTCACTAGCTTCATGATCTCATGGGTACTTTTCCACGCTTGTTCCATGAACTTTAAACCCAGACAAAACCTACTTTACATAATTGTTACGAAGATTGCAGGAACATCTGTAAAAAGCCCTCAATTGTATTTCAGTGATTGCTGCACCAACAATAACTGCTATTATCCAGTGATTTAGAAAAGTTATAGATTCTAAAGGCAAAAAAGGATTCCCGAGAATATCGGAACCAATGTGTCTTGACCATGTGAGAATCCAAAGTATCTATGCTGCGGCGTTCTTTTAAGGTGCTTCAGAGATAGGATCCCATAATCACCTTCCAGCGCTCATTTCAAATTTTTATCCTCCAAGTAATCTGCCTCTTCCTTACAGCTTCTGGAAATTCTCGCACTTTTCACATTTCAACAGGAGGAGAGTGGTCACCTGCATTGAATGCTCCTGAGAAGTCATGTCGGAAAGTCCACTGAATGGAGCGACATAGAGGCAATATGAAGTGATCGTTACGAAGACCATTTGAAGCAGACTTGATTGGGTACGAGGCACCATGAAGACAGCATAGGAGATCACAGTTTAAGAATAAGTGCTTTTATCGAGAGCTTAGCATGTTTCAGTTACTCTGTTAAGTGCTTTATTGGATTATTTTCTCAAATATGCACCACAATCCTGAGTTAAGTAAAACTATGAATAATGTGCCCATTACATTGATGAGAAAATCAGAGGTAAATGAAGTTAATTCATCTAAAGACTACATAGACAATGTATTGGAGTCACATTTTGAGTTCTGTCAGTCATGCTCCTGTTTCCGATGTCTTCCTATAAATGAAGAGTGAAATTAAAACAAATAGCTTGAGTATCACCTATGTCCTGGGCACATACTATTTTTGTTCAGTGAATGTCACAGAGTTAGTAAGTGATGTAGTTGGACATCACGTATTGACTTTAAAGTCTTATTGTCACATCTCTATAGGTCCCAATGAGAGCAAATGAGCTTACAGATAGGAAGTTCTACCTTTGTTTATTCCAATGTACACTTTATCTATGCTGCTGTGAAAACAATTTTGCTCTTAAAGTTCCCCCATGTCCGCACCCAACCTTGCTACTCTAAAACAACTGAATTGCTGTTGGGTAAATTCATGCACTTCTGCTGGTTTCTTGTTGAACTTTGAATGCTATATGAAAAAAGAGATTTGTAGCACTGATGAATAGGGGAACAATATTTCATGAGGAACATTGCATTTATTTAACAATGCATATGTTTTATCTCTCTAAGTACGATGACATTAATCACTTGCATAATAAGAAATAAAATTTTCAATTACAAATCAGCCAGGATTAGGTCTGGTGAGACTTCTGCCAGGCAACACTTAGTCATTTCATAGATACAAAATGTATTGCAAATAATAAGGTGGTGTTTATTATGTATATGTCATGTAGGCTTTTTCAAATGCAGATTGAATTCATAAAGTTTGATAGTCCACATTTCTGATTTGACCTTTGAGATGCATACCAGCTAGCTCCATTTCACTCTCTCTCCTCATCAGCTTTCCCAAGGTGCTACTACTATCTTTTACAACCAAAGGCATTCCTAACTTCACACTAACCTTTACTTACTAAATTGGCACAAAGCTCTGGCAGTGATCCTAAGGAGTGAGTGTTTCTGTGTTTGGGTTGGGGGTCCGGGGGTCCTTCTCCCATGGAACTTACCCGATGTTTTGTGACCATTTCCAAAGCTGTTCCAGAAAAAAACAGTTTCACCTTCTCCACTTAAAAAGAAAATAAACCAATGATTTTTTCCCCAGCTAGTAATAAGAACCATTCCTCATCCAAATATAGAAAAATAGAAACGGAAAACAAGACGAGGATATGGCTTTAAACCTCAATTGTTTGTGTTATCTCTGCTCCTGGATTTAGAAATGATCACCCTAGGGCTCAGGACACAATCCTCTAGGCTCTCTATTAGAAACTAGTCTCGATCTCATCCTCTCTGGACCAAGTCTTCCCTAGTGATATATGTTGGCATGTACTCATTTCCATGTGTGTACACGCGCACGCGCGCGCGCGCACACACACACACACACACACACACACAAGGTTAGGACAAAAAACCATTGCTACCTGGTTTAATTCATTAATATATTCTAAACAAAATTGGTTTTTCTTCAATTTCAACAAAACATATTTAAATATGTCTGTGATCAGTGGTCACAAGGCTGCAGAGAAGCTCTGTAAAGAACTACACTTGTCTTAGTCTCATTTGGGTGTCTTCAAAAACAAGGTCCAATCAAAACACTGGCCTCCAGGGGATCTACTGGGCCAAGTGGATTCTATGTCAAGGAGCCAGCTAAGAAGATCGTGGGGAGTTTCAAAATTATTATTCCAAAGTGTAATCTTGGTAGGTTTTTTCAAAGAACACAGGGCCATCACAGGGGCTTAGTAGGAAGATATTGTAAAGAAAACTGAAAGCTGCATTGGTGAAGAAAAAGACCAAGAAAGTTTGCTCAAAGCATTTTTTCTCATGATGAAAATGTGCATGTCATCATTCCCTGATGCTATTAGTAAGGGGTATACTACTTGAAAATTTTGTTTGATAAACTTACCCCATTAACCCTTACAACTTCAGGGCTTGCCCCTTCAGACATCTTTGTGTTTCCCACATTCAAAGAACATTTCAAACATTTACTGTACTTTCCCTGATGGATGCTCAATTTAAGTCCCTAAAGGATGCCCAAACTGCCATTTTGAAGAGGTGTAAGTCAAAGAGTGCAGAATTCATCAGGGAAGGGTTAGCAATAGTAACACCATCTTCAGAAGTTTAGAGACCTAGATGGAGGATATGTTAGGAAACAATACTTTCAAAATTTGAGAATTTTGTTAAACAAAGTTTTCCTTGACTTTGTAGTAACAATTTTTGACTCAGCCTCACTTATGATTTATTCCTTCCTTACCAACATTGTGGATTTCCAAAGACCAGGTTATTAGGTGAAAATTTGTGTTATGAAACAATAGAGGATGAACAAATCATCTTACCACCACCCATCACCCACCCCCAATCTGTACAGTGAAGGCCCAATTCCACCAGACTTCTGCTGAGGTCATTTGCCATTGCTGCCTCCCCATCCCCATGTCACTTCAGGAGAACTCAGTCTTTGTCTCCTCTCCTCAAAAAACAAAAATCAAACTCACTGACATTGAATCCATGCTGACTCATATCAACCTTATAGGACAAAGTAGAGCTGCATCTGTGAAATTCCAAGAATGTAACTCTTTACAGGAGTAGAAAGCTCCATCTTTCTCATGAGGAGGGAATGAGGATTTTGAACTGTTTACCTTTGGATCACAGCCCAATGCCTAACCACTATGTCACCAGGGCTCCTTGTCTCCTCTCCTAGGAAATAAAATATTATCCAATAAACTTCCTTCCTATGTGCACACAGAGTCCATAAATCAAGGTCCACATCAAGTACCTCAGCATACATTATTGCCAAGCAAACATTGTTCATACACAAAACAGATAGTAGAATTTTCACTGTTGTCATAAATGTGAAATGTAACAAAATTGATTTGGAGTAGATTATATATCTATGTATATATAGTTTAGATTCATAAATGAAGAGGAATTTTGTCCTAGGATAGAATTTGGACTTGGAGTTGATTTAGGACTTTTGTTATACGATGATGGGGTAAAAGTGTATTGTATGTGGGAAGGACTGATCTGAGGGAGTCAAAGGGTGGAATACCATGGATTGAATTGTACCCCCCAAAATAAGTGTCAACTTGGCTGAACCATGATTCTCAGTGGATTGGCAATTATATTATGATGAAGTTTGGCAGTTGGATATCTTCTATTTGGTATTCTTCTGTGGTCATCCTCTCTTTTCTCATAAATCCAATTTTTGCATAATGACCTGGCTTTTGAAACCTAACTATTTTGATAAAGGAGGCATGGGCGTTTATGAATAGAAGTAATTTTTTATGTACCTGATGTATTTCTACTCAGTTTAAAAAACTGAAATGTAAACTTTTGTAGACAAATAACACCCTTTTACATATCAATCTAATACTAGTATTTTGTACCTCTATTTAATCCAATAACAAAGTGCACAAATGATGCTTAGAAACCATTAATAATGAATGCAAACATTAGAGTGTGCTTGTTACTTTTTTAAAGACTCCAATGATATTTTAATCATAGAGTGTTATGTTTGTCTCCATAATATTTAAAATAGTTCATTTGAATTTTATTTATTTTTTGATTTTCTTTAAAAACATTTTTAAGTCATTTTATTGGGGGTTCTCACAACTCTTGTTACAAACCATAAACCAATTGTATCTGGGATATTCGTACATATATTCCATCATTATTTTCTAGACATTTACTTTCCATTGAGCCCTTGGGATCAGCTCCTCTTTTTTCCTCTCCCTCCTAGCCCCGACCCCAACCCTCGTGGGCCCCTGATAGATTGCAGATTGTTAATTATTTTCTAATCTCACTCTGACCGCTCTCTTCCTTCCCCTCTGGTTTCTGTTGTTCTTCCCCCTGGATGGGGGTGTGTGGTTATGTGCCATTCATTGTGATCGGTGCCCCCCTCCCTCCCCACCTCTCCCCCCTCCTTCCCCCTACCCTTCAGTATCTCTGTTCCCATTCCTGGTCCTGGGTTCCATGTGTTGTCAGTTTTATCTCTTGCCTATA